CAAATTTCGAATATCCCCACTCCTTAACCTCGATAAGTAACCTTACTGCTATGTTGGCTTTACGGGCTTGGCGGCTGGTTGTCTGCCCCGGCTTGTCGATTTGGGTCGTTGGCTTCTTGGCAATAGTTTGGGGTAGTAGCAGTGTCCACGTCCCTCGTAATTCGTCTGGGTAACCTCCACTGTACCATAATCCCACACTGGATCGACACTATTTTACGATACTGACACGGCGGCCTTATAAAAATCGCTTTTTTGCCATTACACGACCTACCTAGGAAGAAGTCATGATGCAACAGCTATAATATAGATGTAAAGTGTCGGATCAGTCCTTCTTCGTATTTTAATCTTTCAAAAGGCGAAATTTGGAGATAACCTTGACATCCCAGGTTCCCAGCATTCTCAGTTCCCGAATTACCCAAATTACAGCCAGAAAATTTCACGGGGTCGTACACGGCAACCACGCATAATGGGGGGCAGAATTTGATAAATTTAAGTTGCAGATGAAATGGGAACATTCCCCGAAAATTTCAGCCTCCCAGCTTTCCTGGTTCCGGAGTTATCCATTTTCGCGCCAAAAATTTTCACGGGGCCATACGTGGCAATCACGCATAACGGGGGGCTGAATTTGACAAATTTAAGTTGTAGATGAACTGGCATTTCAATGATATGTCAGACAAAACTGTTTTTTATAGAAATGCCATTTTTGTTAAAATAGTGATTATCTCTGACTTGTCAGGAAATCACGAAAATTATCTTTATAGAAAGCAATGAAAAATCATTTAAATGTCGAATTTTTGCAGGAAACTCAATCGTTTACGAAAAGATGCCTTGCCAACCGATAGTGGTGTTCGTACCCTGTTGCATTTATTACGATCCGAACCAATGACATCACTTATGTCGGATTGGACGAGTCTGCCTTTGCTCGACGACAATGGCGAAAATGAAAGTGAAGATGGTGAACCAGGTCTGTATTATAATTTAAATAAGAGGACTTAGCGAATGGGATTATTGCCGAGAATTTATAGTATTTGAGAAGTGGATTTATTATCTTCTAATTTATTCAAGATATGGGGATTTGCAGAATATAGGCTTATATCCAGAATATGGGGGTTTTTTTTCCTGTAAAGGGTGTTTTTTTTCGTCTGATTGCATGATTTACGGTTATTGCCCTCCTGTTGCTCGCCCTGCTCTATATCAGATGTTTAGGATTTAAGCTGGTGTATCTGTTGTATCCAAGGGAAGGTATTTAAGGAACTGAAACTCGCAAAGTTTATTAAGTAGGCTTTTTCTGCATTCTGTTGAAGTAGTGCTTTTCCCATATGTGTTTTTCTTTTCGGTATCAGATTTGGCTAACAGTTTTTTTGCCCTGAAAGATTGATGTATGCAGAACTGGGTTTACTACAGTATTTTTTTTGTCCATTATAGTCTTAAGTGGTATTTGATACGGCGTTTTCGTCACTGACACGTTGTTGATCTTCTCCTGTGATTGGGCCGACAACTACGCCACCGAGTTCTATCCCGAACTCGCCTCATCCACAGTACTCCATATAATCGAGTTAGCGGATCGGAACAGTGCCTCAGTTACCTTCCTACTGGCTTTTTTACATGTCGTGGGAACCAATCGATAACGCGTTTCATCCACCTGTTGTCATTCATCCTTGCTATGTGACCAGCCCAGCTTCTTTTCTTTAAGTAATATGATTGGAAATTAATGATTGCCTTGTCTCCGTCCTTGGCCATTTAAATGAGCTATTATTTAAAATTTGTTCTACAGTGATGGAGCTGGCAACTTGTTCAGTCACTTTGACCAGTGCTGTATTGCCTCGTTTTAAACTTGCTGGCAATGGCAGTCATGATGTTTGATTTGTCTCCTGAAGAAAGCTTGATGGTTTTTGTGACAGAAACGCTTAACAAGACGTGAAATCGTTCTGAGATGCCTTGGATTGTGTTGAGCATCACTGCCTCATCTTGGGACGTTAACACTTTAGGTCTCTATGAATTACTTTATCAACTTATAAATTTATATATTTAAATTTTGTTAACTTTTAACTGTTTATGCCTTTTTTTTTAAGATTCTAAAAAGAAGAAGACTGATGG